AGTGTATTCAAAAATTGTTAAATGTGCATTTTACTAATGTTCAACATGTATTAGGATAAATGTTCAACATGTATTTTAAAAAAGTTGAGCATGTATACTTCAAATGTTCAATGTGTATTTCAAAAAAGTTGAGCATGTATACTTCAAATGTTCAACGTGTATTAAAAAAATGACATGGTTTTTAAAAACAAAAGGAATGAATGGAACAAAAAGGGAAAACATAAACAGAAAACCAATGGAGAAACACAAAAAAGAAAAGAAAAAACCAGACGGAAGATTCTAAAAACGGTCTGTGTCGGTCCAACTTCCCAGAACCGCACTGTTTGGCCAGCCCACTGTGGCGCTCTATGGACAATAAATTTCACGGGACATGAACAAGTTGATGATGAGCTTGTTGAGTACTCCCTCCGTCCGGGTTTATTAGGCCTCTCAGCATCACAAGCATGTCCCTTTTTATAAGGCCTTGCTTTGGAAAGGTGCATGCATGCAACCATTTCATTGGTTGTATTGAAAGCCATTGTTGTTGGTGCCATGGCTGGGAAATTAATTCACTTCATGCATATTTCTTCATTGGCTGCATGCATGTGAGAGAGTGCATTGGGAGTGGAATGGAAGAATTAATGTGAGCAATTTACTATGTGTCTTGGTCTAAGAGAAGTTGTCTTTAGGCCTAATAAACCCGGACGGAGGGAGTATTTGTGGGTGCTCCATGGACAATAAATGTCTTCAATGTTGTGTTTACTTCAAATCATTTGGACCGTTTGTTATGTCTACTTCAAATTATTTGGACCATTTTATTTAATAGTATTTATTGGGGCCTTAATTTTTTCTTTTTCTGATTATTGGGAATGAGTGCCTTGCCGAGATTGATGGATTTTCTTGTTCGGACCGCAGGCCCCTCGGTTGATTGTTGAGCAAATGTCCGTCAATGCGAAGGGGGCAGATCCCGGCCCGTTGGCCGGCTTGTGTGTATCGTTCATCCGCCAGCGGGAAAATATTGGGGTGCTACCGTGATACGAGCATCTAGGAGCCGTTGGATTGCAGATCCGACGACATCTAAAAAGCTATTGTATCTGTGCGTAATTTTTAGACTTTAGGATGACGTTTTTGTAAATTGTTCAAGAGGTCTTAAGAACCATTGGATCTGGGATCCAACGGCTTAGAAGCCCGTATCACGATAGCATCTATGAGCTGGTAGCACCTGATACTTTCCCGTCCGACACCTCCGGTCTACGGTCGCCGCCACCGTTTTTTCTCTTCCAACCTAGTACTAGACATGGCTAAAAGATGAAGAGAATGTGATGAAACGAAATGAACAAGCTAGTGAGAGCAACTCTAGCAGACCTCGCATCCGGCGTAAACCCGCATAATTCCGGCGATTATACGGACTCGGCCCATTTTTCTGGCTAGACCAGAGCCTGCATCGGTGTCCGGCCGTAATATTTTTGCCGCAGCCCGCAAACGCAACCCCCGAGCCACTATAACTGCGGTTTTGCGGAGCAGATGCGGGTCGAAACCCTATTCCCCCGCAGCCGCGTTCCCCTCCAATTCCCCACCGCGCCGCTCAATTTCTCGCCGCTGGCGAGCCTTGAACCACCATGGCCGACTCGGGGGATGAGGCGGAGCGCCGCCGCCGCGCCAGATCTGACGCGCGCGCAAGCGGGGGGGGCGCGCCGGTGGCTCAACCACGATGCCCGGTCGCCGCCGGCATTCAACCGGCGCGAGCTCGACGAGTTCGAACTCGGGCGCGCCCGTCGCCGCCGCGCCTCCTCCGGCAACTGGTCCCCGGGGAGCTCATCCAGCCACGGTTCCGCGGGGTGCTCATCCGCGGGCGCATCGAGCTCACGGCTCGTTCCGGTGACGAGGGAGCCGGAGGAGGTCGTGCCCAATGCGCCGCCGTGCCGAGGCGTCATCGGACCCGAGGACTACCTCCCACCGGGGCAGGAGGAGCTCCTCGAGCGGTCGGCGAGGGATCAGGAGGAGATGGAAGAGCGCATCCAGCGCGAGCTCGAGTACGAGCGGCTCTTCCTCGAGACGGGCCTCACGGCATCGCAGGCGCACGCATCGAAGGAGGCTGACCTGCGCGTGATGAAGGCGAAGCTGTACATCGAGGTCGACTCTGACTCCGACTGATCGCCGCCGGTGGGCAGCTACCGCAGGAGCTCCGGTGAGCTCAATTTTGTTGTAGTGGTGCGGTAGCGTAGGCCCTGTCTAGCAAATCTAACCTTTATGTATGTATGTGGCGTGTACGAACTTATTATGCGAAGAAGAACCATCTATGCGAGCGAGCTCCGGCGAGCTACTGCTTAAATTTCTCGCGCGGAACAATTTTTTTTAAATAGGGGTTTGTTTGCGGTTTCTAGTCTGCCGTCGTAAAATTCGGCCTGCATAACCGCTTCCGTGCGACCTGCAAACACATTTTATGGGTCAGCAAAATGCGACCTGCTAGAGTTGCTCTGACTGGGGAGAAGACCAAGCTCCTGGATTGTCCATTCAAACCGAATCAGAAGCACAGCCCTAGATTCATTGCCCGACTTGAATGAGCGACAGCATATCATATGGTAGCAGCAGTACGTACTCCGTCGGTCCCTGCCACAGGGTTCCAAGGTCCAGGCTAGCACATTAATCCCACGGTGTCCACCACCCTCATAAAACCCTACACGCAACAGCTCCAAATTAAGCTGCACCTACTACTACACAGATCAACAACGCAAAGGCCAAATGGGCACATTAGTGGCATAATTAGTACTACTACAAGTACTCATCATCAGCACAATCTTGTGCATCATTCAGAGTACTACCTAGTAGTATCTAGCTAGCTATAGCCTACTAGAAGAACGCCCGTGCGTTGCAACGGGGCCACATTAACTTTAAGAGTTCAATATTAATATTCTCATACATATCAATCCTTCTTCTCCTTCCGTCTGCCACCGAGACAGGGACCTAGACTTTGTGCTGCTCTTATTGATTTCAAACCCAGACGAGATGGGGTGGTGGGAAGGGGGACGAAAAAACCCAGACGAAACAAAGGAGAAGGAGAGCCTCATCAGTAGCATCATGGTGAATTTCAAACCTAGCGTTGTGCTCCGCCCAACGAACATGGACGCCGCCGCCGGCGGCCCGGTGGAGCTCGAACCCGAGAGACTCTGCTGCTTGCTGGGAGGGGTCGGGGAGGGTCAGAGCACATGAGCATTGACGTGAAGACAGAGTAGGCCTGGGAGATTACTGTGCACGCCGCACAGCGACTTGGACCTCGGAGGGCCTTAGCTCTGTCAGGAGGAGGTCCCGAGTTCCTGCCGAGGACAGCCTGACGGGGGAGACGCACGGCCGCTCGCGCTGCCCGCAACGCGACCACGCCCTGCCCTAGGGTTCTGCGACGGCGGCAGCGTCGTCCACAGCCACACCCTCTCTGAGTCCTGCCCTGAACTGGGGTTCCGAGATGGCGGCGGTGGCGGAGGTCTCTGAGGTTGGAGAGGGGCAAGATGTAGGACGGCGGAGGCTGGAGCCTGGAGCGATGGCGGCGTTTCGGGATTGCAGGCAGGGGGACGTGCGAGGTGAGTGTTTTTTTCACCGGTTTATGTTGTGTTGCCTGCACGGATATATAGGAGAACAAATAGGTGGATTATAATTCCTTCCATTGTATAAGTGCTGGGAAAGGAAGCGAGGGACAAAAATCAATCGAGGGGCCTTTAAGAGTAGAGATTAGTTAATTGGATTTTTCTTTAAAGTCTTTTATTTGTTTTCTTAAAATTTATTATATGTTTCCTAAATCAAATTGCATTGATGGGATGGATCGATTGATTTGGATAGTCTATTATTTGTTTCCTTCACATCCATTATATGTTTCCTAAAGCAAATTGCATTGATGAGATGGATCGTTTGATTTGGATGGATCGATTGATTTGTTTCCTTAAAATTGGATTTTTTTTAAAGTCTGTTATTTGTTTCCTTAAAATTTATTATATGTTTCCTAAATCAAATTGCATTGATGGGATGGATCGATTGATTTAGATAGTCTATTATTTGTTTCCTTCACATTCATTATATGTTTCCTAAAGCAAATTGCATTGATGAGATGGATCGTTTGATTTGGATGGATCGATTGATTTGTTTCCTTAAAATTGGATTTTTCTTTAAAGTCTGTTATTTGTTTCCTTAAAATTTATTATATGTTTCCTAAATCAAATTGCATTGATGGGAGGGTGACGCATGAAAAGTTATGATCCGTTAAGATTTTTTTCGTTGTGTGAGAGGGTGACGCGAAACTAAACCGGTGGGGTAGGGGAGGGACGAAAAAAACCAGCGAAATGAAACGGGTGGGAGGTGGGAGGAAGTACCAAAGAAGTACCAAAAAAAACCGGGTGAGGTGGGACGAAAAAAAACCTGGAAGCGAGACTATCAACTGCTCCATTAGGAATAGAGATATATACTAGCTAGCTTCCCTTGGATCATGAGCAATCGCCGTCTTGTGCTGAGTTGTGCCATGTGAGGAGTTCCTTTCTGCAACACGATGAGGAGGAGTACCGTGGACCATCAATGGATCTGTGCTGCCCACATTGACAATTTGGGGTTTCATTCAGCGTACTCTACTCACCACATGCAGGCTCCTTTTAACCGTAAATCGCAATTAAGCTTATCCGGACCATATGTAATTAGCGAGGACAGACAGGCCCCCTTTTTCCACGCTTGAAGTTTTGCAGTAAAAGCTGAGGGTCGTTTGTGTTGGGTACAGAAATTACTACTGATATTTAACACTTGACATTGCCCTCCACCACCACCAGACCATCTCCCTGCACATGGCAGAAGCAGAGCGCAATGAGAGTGTGAGAGAATGGGAGAGGAGATCCATTGTGTTGATAACTTGAGACCATTGGATCATTCTTCATCGTTCCTCGTTCTGCTACTTGCCTCTGCATGCTGCTGCAAAGATCGACGCGTGATGGAGTGGAGCAAGTAGTGGCGGCGGCTGCAGCTGCGGAATTGTAGCGTGTTCTCTGCAGATGGGCAAGGCTGGCAGGTGGCTCAGAAGCTTCCTCACCGGCAAGAAGGCCAGGGACAAGGGGGCAGACGACGGCCTGCCGGCGCCGGCCGCCAAGGAGAGGAGACGCTGGAGCTTCCGGCGTCCGGCGGCGTCGGCGAGCGCCAGGGACACGAGCAGCGCCACGTCCGGCTGCCACGGCAAGGGCCAGCTCGCGTCCACGTCCTCGCACTGCTTCTTGGAGGTGCATGCGGTGACGGTGCAGGACCAGCATGCCGTCGGTGCTGCTGCGCCGCACGAGGTCGCGATCACCGCGGCCACGGCGCCGCCGGAGGGCAGCGCCCGTGACGCCGAGGAAGCCGCGGCCGTCAAGATTCAGGCCGCCTTCCGATCGTACCTGGTATGTGACGCTCCGTACGTACGTACGTCCCTATGAGATGGAAGCTACTACGTGCTTGTGCTGCAGCGTGGTTGATGGGGGGTGGTGAAATCCATGCGCAGGCGAGGACGGCACTGTGCGCGCTGCGCGGGATGGTGAAGCTGCAGGCCATCGTGAGGGGCCAGCTGGTGCGGCGGCAGGCGGACATGACGCTCCGCCGCATCCAGGCGCTCGTCGCCGCCCAGAGGCGCGTGCGCGCCGAGCGACTGCGGCTCCGGCTCCTCGACGACGGCACGCCGCCGGCGCGGACGAGCCGCCGGTCGCCGCAGCATCACTGCTCCCCCCGGAAGCCACTATCCGCGGCAATGCAGGAGCAGAACGGGGAGATGGACAGCGGCGGCGGCGGCTGCGCACGGCGCAACAGCTGCTGCTCGACGCCGGCGAAGGCGGAGCTGTACTACAACCAGAACCAGAAGGCGTCGCCGGGGCCGCCGGGGCTGACGTCGGACTTGAGCGTGCGGACGTTCAGCGGCCGGTTCGACGAGGAGCACTACTCGGCCGCGTCCTTCTCCGCCGCGGGGTCCGAGGCGAGCGGGCGCCACCGCGGCAAGGCGTGCCACGCCCACGCCGCGAGCTACATGGCCAACACGGAGTCGTCGCGCGCCAAGCAGGCCCGGTCGCAGAGCGCGCCGCGGCATCGCCCCGAGGCGGCCTCGCCGTCGCGGTCGTACGAGCGGCCGCCAAGTGGGGGCGGCGGCCGGCGCAGGGCGTCCCTCGACCCGCGGAACCTCGCCGGCCAGGTGCGCGCTCCCTCGCCAAGGAGCTCCGTTGAGGCGGGGCGTGTGACACCGCATGACAGGCCCGGCGCGTCGCTCGCCGGCAGCGAGTGCGGGTCGTCGTCGAGCACCGCGCTGCTGCTGGCCTCGGCGGCCGCGGCGCGCATCGCGAGATGAAATGATGACTCTCCGCACCGAGGCGGAGCGAATGAAATTTACTGCCACAATAAAAAGCCTGTTTCTGCCGTGAATTATCTGTCCTGCGGTAACAATCGTGGACGGTCTATTCTATCACGACATCTTCAAAGCGGACCCTCAAATCGTCTTCAAGATTTAAATTGCACAGTTCAAACATGTTTTTTGATCAAACGTGATTCTGTACCGCTCTGTCGAGCAGTCGGGATGCACTCTTTTGCGCAAACACGAGACAACCTGGGGATTTGCAGAAGTCCGAACAGCAAACATGTAGAACTCCGACATCGCCGGCCCACTCAAAACTCCTCCTGGACCCGGCGCCTTCATCCTTCTATTTTCTCTCCTTCCCCTTTTCTCTTTTTCCTTCACCGCCGCTCCAACACCCCGGCGACCCCGCGCACACTCCTGCCGGAACTCGACGAGCCAGTCACCTCCAAAGAGCATTACAAATTTTGAAAAATGTTTGTTGCCATAACATATCCAGATTTACCAAAGAAAGCTTGTTCCGTGGTATTATGTTCAACAAGTTTGCCATGGTACGTTCAAAGTAAATTGCCATGCTATTCAAATTTGTTTGACATGGTTTGTTGAATAAATTGGCCATGGTTTAAAACAAATTTTGCACAGTCCAAGAATAATTTACCGTGGTTATGTTCAAAAGAAATATTTAGTGGTATGTGCAATGAAATTTGCCATGGTCCAAACAATATGTTTGCCATACAAAAATTGTAATGTGTAGAAAACAATTTTACTTAGAAAAATGCAAAAAATAATAATCTAAAATTGCCATGTGAGGAATTAGAAACATTTCCAAAATTATCATGAATACGGTAGAAAATTCCTAAAGCTTGTAATGGGACCATTACAAAAAGACCTAAAAAATTCATGTTTAGAAAGACAAAAAAATGATTTTGCCAAGCAATTTGTCATGTCTAGAATTGTCACGTGACAACTTTCAATCAGAATTGTCACATATAACAAATGACATGAGACCGAAAAAAACATGCAGTGATTGTTAAGTTGATCTAAACTTTAAATCTAAAATTATCCATATGACTATTAGAAACATATTTAGAAATTTAACACGTCTTATAAAGCAAGTAATTCAAAATTTACCATCTAATCATGATATTTTTTTTGCCACGTGGACATTACAAAAATATTGCCATGTGACAAGTTTGAAAAATCATAAATTGCCATGCGGACATCAAGGAAAAAATGTGAATTTCCCATCATTAGAGAAACAAACATGATATGACTTTGCCATGTGAGAAAATGAGAATTGTTTTGTAAATTTGCCTATGTAGAAACAACATTTCTTAGAAAAAGCAAAACAAAATCTAAAACCCCCTCCTGAATACACGATTGAGCACATGTCTAGCCATCCGGAAGTGATGTCGCAATGATTTATGTTTGAACAATGTGGAACCAGATTTGAAGTAGTCTTCTCATAGTAGGCAATGACCGCTCTCTCTGTTATGACTGAACGCCGAGCATCGCCCGGGATCGAGCCCCTAAACATTGATCTCTGCCTAGCAAAACATGGTCACTGACGACCAATGCAGCGACCACCATCTCCTCATCGTCCGACCATGAATCGTCCGAATCCAAATGAAGTTGTTGAAAAAGTACTCATCTCCACTATCCATTTGTATCATGCCGGTGAAACGTCCAAAACCTTGCGGGCGTGGTGGACACAATGGCGGTGGAGGGCGCCGAACTTGGAGCGGTTTCGGCAGCGGCGGATGGCGTCGGTGGCCAGGGGTGGCGTGGTCGTGGCGGGTGCTACGACGACAGTTAAAGCAGGCCATCAATGTCGGCAAGAGCGGCCATCGGGTGTAGCATGCTGCCAGGGGAGTTGTGTGGGTGCGGGCGGCGGCCTGGGCAGCGTCGGCGACAAGGGGTGGGGGTGGCCGGGTGTCTTGGCTGCAGATGGGAGGGGGAGCAATGTCCAATATGCTACCGACTGGAGGGCCAGGGAAAACATGGGTTGGCATCGCGCGCGGACAAAAAACGGACGCCCGTCCGTCTGCATCGCACGTTGGACCGCGGTTTGTTTTTGTTTCGCGAAACAAACGGATGCGCGCCTTGCAGCTGCTCTTACGTAGGCCTAGGATGACTGACGCCACAAAAACAAACACTACCGGACTCGTGGACTATGCCTATGGCCACAGGCCGTTGGCATAGATCTATGCCTATGGTTGCCGTCGGCATAGGCCCGTCGGCGTAGATGTCGCCAGCGTAGTCTTGTCAGACCATCGGCATAGTATAGCCGTCGGCATAGGAGCCTATACCGACGGCCTGACGTCAGCCGTCGGCATAGTTTAGCCGTCGGCAGTGTTTTTCGTCTGACGGCAACGGACGGCGCCGTCAAAAGAGCTGACGAATCACGAAACGCCGTGTGGCAGAGGTATGTCGACGGCTTAGCCGTCGGCATATCTCTGCCACGTGGCAACCCGTGTTCCTCCTGGCAGCAGGGCTATGCCTACGGCAAAGCCGTCGGCATAGATTTCCAGCTATGCCTACGGCAAAGCCGTCGGCATAGATATGCCACGTGGTGAGCCCTGGTAACTCCTGGGCTTATGTATGCCGACGGCTTTGCCGTAGGCATAGTTTTTTTTCCTTGTTTTCTCTTTTCCAATTCATTTGACAGCATTTCAAAACAGAATAATATGAAATTATGCAAAAATATGACAATTCATCATCTAAACATACTCAAGTTCATCTAAACATACTCAAGTTCACCATCATCATCTAAACATACTCAAGTTCATCACATCATCTAAAGATCATCACTGATGGAAGTTCATGAACATAAAAGTAGTGCAAGACATGAAACATCATAAAAGTAGGAATATGAAAGGCATGGCACGATGGCCACATGCACGGAATCATCAAGCAAGACCACCTCCGCCAAAACCACCACCTTCGCCAAAACCACCACCACCTCCGCCAAAATCGCCATCGCGACCACCACCACTCTGCCAGATCGGAGTGACTGGGGTCGACGGAGCAGGAGTCGAGCCACCGGTCCCCTACATGTTTCAGAAAAGATTCTAATGGTAAATATGATATGATAGTGTTGAATGAACGAGAACTAGTTTGCCAGTAGTTAGGCAAATGTACTAACCGAACCATCACTGCCTAGTGCCACCAATTCATCGAACGTGGGCACGTGTGGGGGTTCTCCCGCAGGTGGTGGTGGGGGTCCCATTTGTGGTGGATCCGTGCGGTTAGTCCAAGACGCCAACATAGCCTGAATGTTAGTTAAACAAGCAAACTAGAAGATCAGAAGGAATGAAAGTGCAAAAATTTAGCTTGATTTTAAGAGGGCAAAACTAACCGTCATCATCTGACGGTTGTAATCATCGTTTGCCTTCACTCGTTTCAAGTACTCCCGCACCTCGAGATTCCTATGCTCGACAAACTCCTTATATGCCTACATAATTTAGGTTGTTTCTAAGTGAGCAATGCTGAAAATAAACTGAGAATGCTAGATAGAAAAAGATAAAGAGGAAGTACTTACAGCATGCTGGCGGGCTAAGGGAGTCCGTGAACGCCCCGTACTCTCTAACTGGCTCAGGTTGGTAGCCCGAAGCTGTGTGTACGAGATCGAAGGAGTGATCAAGCCGTCGAAACACGGATACCGGCCATTCTTCTTCCCCTGGATGGCCACCATCGCCATGTCGTCGATCTGAGACTGGGCGACCTCAGCAACAGGAACATCCGTATGCAACTCCTCATAGTGATGAATGTAAGACCCCAAGTGCTCCTCGGTCTTGCCGTAGTACTGGCTCTCGCCCTCCTTGCGATGACTCCGCTCGCAGGCCAGCTTCCACGACTCCATGTCTGAGAGCGGCCTCTTCAACTTGTCCTCCTACAACGTCAAATAGAAGTCAGCCATACATAAGAACATGACGGTAAAGAAGAACAAAAATGCATCATGCACATAGATATACCTTCATGGCCTTGAAGCCCCAGTGGTTCCTGTTTCCTTGGCCGTGTGTCCCGTCGGCTCCACGGTTAGCCCGGGCCTTGATGCTCTTGGCAGCAAACTCTGCATCGGCGCCGAGCCACCTATCCACCAAACTCGCCCATCCGTCATGCCTTCCATAGCACCAACGAGGAACAACCTATGCAAATTTTGGAAGCATGACATGTGAGCATGAAACATATAGTTGACTGCTTGAAACAATGAAAAGTTAGTAATAGTTACCATCATGAACTGCTCCCTGTTCAAGGTAAGTCGTAGCTTCTGCGCTTGAGTTTTGGTCATCTTTTGGTGCAGGTAGTAGTGGTAGTACTGCGAGACAGCAACCCAACACACCTCGTACTACAACTGACGAGCTTTCTTCTTCGCAGCCGCAAGCAAGACCACGTCGGCTCTGGCCTTGTGCTCGTCAAGAACTCTATAGAGTTGCTGTAATCATGCATAAACCAGAAGCAAACAATGCATGAGTTGAGTGATTCAATGATAAACTATGAACGAAACTGAAGACAAGTGATTCAGAAGATAACTTACCCAAAATTTGGTGATCACGGCCTTAGCGGCCGTCCCGTACTCCGCGTTGCTGCAAGCCTCGTAGTGGGCCCAGCTCGTGGCCAAAACCCGCTGCTGCGGGTCCCTGTCTGGCCGCAGGCAGAATAGGCCAGGCCAAAACTCCTTCAACAGGACAGTGATAAGGCCGTTCGGTTTACGGCCCTTTCCGCGAAGGATCCAGTTTCTGCAAAAGAATCAAATGATTGCCATGTGTACAATAAGAAAATGTTGTCATGTGTTGAAAATATGATTGAGAGGCACTTACTCTGTCCCCACAGGTTCAATGAGCCACTTGTGCTCCTCGATAGAAGGTGATGTAGGTAGTCCGGCATTACCACGCAGCCACCCCTGCGGAGCACCCGATGGCAAGTCACCCCACAACTCGGGATCAACCTCCCCTCCACCCTCCTCGGCCTCCTCCTCACCCTCCTCCTGGGCCTCC